GGTGCTGTAGCCAGGTGACAGGTGTCCAGATTCCTGGTGATAATTAGTGTCCTGATGTGTACAAAAATGTCAAGTGAGGGTCAGGAGAAATTCTTGTTCTCTTGCAGTTTGTGAGCAAAGCAGAGAGTGTCTCCCCCTCCCAGATGATTCTCTGAGTGAGATACACCAGCATTTTCCTACACAGTGGAGCTGGCAGGCTTTTATTTGTGTCTTTCTCAGCTGGAAGTTTCATCTTAATCTGTTCTCATTCTTTGCATAATGAGCAGGCATTCACAATGTGTTTGGAAGAAGTGTTATTCTTTACAAGGTGCAAATGTCTCTAATCCTCTCCATCTCTGTGTCAAACAGAAATGGCTGGCCTTTCACTGGGGCTTTCTGCTAACCCAGCTAACCAAGAAATTAATGTCCTACATAAAAGGTGAACTAGTAGCTTGAGACAAATTATCACAGGTGGAAAATAAGCTTGCTTGTTCCTACCCCTTCTTTTTTTAATAAGTGTCCTGTACTTCAAGACCTTTTTGTTTTTAATTTTTGGCTCATATAAAAAAATGCTGGGCAAAACCTGAGTGATTACCACCTGTCTACTTGGACCACAGACTAAAACCACTAGCCTTTGAACATTGACTAAAAAACAGGTTTTGAGCAGTGTAAATATCTGTAACTCCACTGTTATCTCTCTACCAGTGGCTTTTAAAAAGTCGTGCAATGTCTTTGTTCTGTGCCATTGATGTTAACTGAGAATGTGCTAATGCAAAAAAGTCTTCCCTCCATCCTCCAGTTCCAGTGTCAACATTGCAGAATTACTGCAGCATCCTCCGGGCAGAGTTTAAAAAGCTTCTTGACCATAATGGGTAGGAAAATGTCACTGGGTGAACCTCATTAATTCTTCAATTAATAAAGAATGGAGCCTGTGCCACCCTCCCCGGCCCTGCTCCAAGGGATGTGGCTCGATGGAGGCTGTGATGGAGAGGATACTGTGGGGCAGACGAGACCTTGCCTTTGCTCCAGGCCACAGTGCCACACTGCTGGTAACAAAAGACTCAGCTCCCCAGGTTTTAAGGTTTTCTTGGTAGTGCTAGTCCTTCATTAAAATCAGCCAGAGCAGAAAGTTGATCTTAGAGGAGAGCTCTCAGCTCCAGCTGCTCTTAGGAACTCCAACAAATCAAATCAGGAATTCTTCCCTTCAACTTCCTTGAGTAACAGGACTCTTGAGCATCCAGCAAGGGATTTATTTACCATATAAATATAATTGTTCTTTCTTTTTGATGAATGATTCAACTTTTCAGCTATGAATGCTGAGCTATAAAGTTCATATAAATCCCCTTAAAGGGCCAACTGCTGTACAAAGACAGATCCAGAGATTCGGGATCACCTGCTGCGTGACCACCAGCAGACACTGTTTAAATTACGTCTGTTGCTCTGCCAAGCTCCAAAGTTAAGGACACAGGCATGTGGTCTTTTATTGCTGATCGCCAGATAATAGTACTAGATTATCCATGCTGGATGCTGTAATTAGAGCATTAAAGTCTCCAAAGCCTTATAAAGTGAAGATGCTGAAAGTTACTGGTAGTAAAGAGTTAGTATCATATTTAAGAGCAGCACTTAGGGCTTTTTTGATCTGTGAGAACTTTCTGAGGGAGAATTCCCTTGTTTCTATGATTATTGTGCATACTACTGTTGGCTTTGGCAGTGAAAATGTACTTGTCAGATATGCTTTTATTGTAATCAGTTTATGGCTATTTTAATTCTGTGAGTTTGATGCAGTTGTCTGAAGTCCATGGCCTGTAATTTCCAAACACAATTAGGGCTCATCACTGGGAATGCTAGAATTTTAACTTTCCTAAAAAACTTCAGTGGCCTTAAGTTTGTCACCGGAGTTTCCCTCCATATTTTATCTGACACATTCCTTTAATCCATGTAACCACTATCATTCACTGGCATCTGGCATAAATAAGTGTTCAGACCCTGTAACATAACTGGCTCTGCACTAAAAATTTTCTGTCCAAGACAGCCAAGAGAGTTCAGCAGCACTCTAGCCTTTCTTAATATTTCTTTTCTATGGTCAAAACCAAGGCTACTTGCTGGCTGTCTTTCCACTGGCTTTAAAGGATCTTGGATCAGGATGACCATGGGAATGAAGTGAGTGGAGAAAAGGACTGAGTGTACGACTAACTACCCAGAGCTCAAAGTGAGTTCATTGAGGGTTGTTTGTGATGTACTATCACCAAAGGAGTATCGGGACCATACAAAAGTGATACAGAGACTCTATCATCAGAAGGTATGAAAAGCACTTTATTATTAGAAATTCACAGTTCTTATGGAAACAATGGTGGACCTAAGACCTGATTGGCCTTTAGGAATCTTCTCTCACCTACTGGTCAAGAAGGGACAACTCTTTCTTGTAAACATCTTTGACAAACAGTGATTGCCTGCCAGGTGCAGGGATTGAGATAATGATTGTTTTATTCATTCTGTGAGCTTTCTCACAGCTTCCCAGGAAAATCCTGGGAGAGCTATGTCTCTCTCTGTTCAGAGGGTATGTGATTACCACAACATACCTTTAACTTGATTTGTGAAAAGAGGCCTTGAACCTGAGTGCTACAGACTGTACATGGGGGCCAGTTTGCCCATGGAAGTGTTAAAGGGATTCTGAAACTGGTTGAACATAAAGTTCATCGGAGGTGGTGAGTGACACTCCAGGTGAGTTAGAATCCATGACTCCAGCCGTCCAGCTGACATAAGAATGAAGCACTTTTTTCAGCTGAGCCAAAAGCCCTCAGTTTCAAACCTGTTGCATTGCATCTGTTGGTTCCCAGTGTTTCATGCAGGAGCTGTTGGCAGGTATGACTCCGTAAACCTCAACTAATTTATGACTAATGCTTGATAGGACAATAAAAAATTGTTTGTAGGAGTTTCCAGGCAGCACCAATACACAAGCATTTCCCTTGAAAGATGGATGTGTCCCTGGAAGGTGTGGCACCCTTTTTAGTACTGGGGACATGTCCTACACAAAGAGTGATATTCGTTTTGGGCATTATAAAATAGACCTCTATTTGTAAACAGACTGACAGCTCCATATCTGGGTTGTTTCCACAGTGCATAGCTTTAAATCTGCCTGGAAATGTGTCAATCCTGAGCTGACCCACATTGCTGGGATGCCAACTTTGAGGGATTCTTCTATTCAGCAGGCTGCTTTGGCTCTCAATGACATGAAGAGGTTAGGGATGATGCAGCAGCTACATTGCTGGAGGGCAAAATTAGTTTTTCTGAGTATTGCTCTTTGTGGTCAGGTGTTCCCTACTTGCTCATTGTTAGAAAGGTTGTGGGCATCTACACATCTCTTGCACACTGCCAGAGCTTGGCAAAATTCAGTTGCAGAGGAGTTTAAATTGTTCTCTTCCTTTGTTCTCATGCTCTAAGCATAGGTAATAAAAATATACCAGGTTTCTTTATGGTAGGCCAGGATCACGGCTTTCACCGATCATTTTCTTTTTACATACAAGAATTATTAATAGGTGCTTTCCTGCTATTTCAGTCTGACAACCTCACCTTAATCTTAAGAAAATTGTTTTCAATCTTGAGATGACTTCCCAGTAAAGTATTCATCTTTCTTGTGGGCCCAGAGACTTTAGAAAGTGTGCAGAGCATTGAGGATGTGAATTTTTATGTGAATTACTTACTCTGATTTCAAGTTATCATTAAGCCTTGCCAGTGAAAATGCAAACAAAACTGTGTCTCTAGAGGATGGGGAATAGACATAGCTGCACATTGTAATCAGCCTCTCTTGAAGATTCATTTAATATCTTGTGTATTTTTTTATGAAATGCATTATTCATGTAACAAGCTTCACAGGGAGAAGCAGCTGAATTGTAATTTCTGAGAAGATTCTTCTTTCAAGAGATGTCATTTTCATTATTTAAATCAATGCAGCAGGTCTTGCCTGCATGGGAGAGGCATGAAGTGAAGGGAAGGGTGTGTAGATGGGGCACTGAGCCAGCCAGGAATTGCCCTTGAAGGGAAATAAAAGTAGTCATCCAGTAACTGAAGCCCTTTTGGGTCAGTATGCAGTCATTTGAAACATCATTACACTTTGCAGGATTTTTTGCCCAGTGCTAGAAGCACTTAAGAATGCAGTAATCAACCAACACTTACGCCATGGAAAAGTTTTCTCTCTTGTAAAAATACTGCTTGTGAACTGCTTTCCCCACTGCTGTTTTCCAGAGTGCTTCCTCAGTTCTCCATGGAGTTCATCTGTCTGGGCTGTGATTCCAGGGCCTACAGGAAAAGTCCCACATGTTTATATTGCAATTCTCTCTTATTTACCTAACCCTAAGTAAACCAGTCTACTTAATTAACACAGGCTCAGCCTCTGCTATATTTAAGACCTCACTCCACCAGTGGTCCCACTGAGATCAGTTGGGCCGTTCAGAAATAACAAAACACAGATACCACCGGCAGACTTTAAGCTCAACTTAATGAAATTACAGTGATACAGACTGCACATGCGTAAGCAACACTAGGTGCTTTGCATTTCTTATAGCACTGCTGATGGCAAACTTATTTTTAAAAGGAATTTAATTAATGCATATAACCATTTAATTATGTTAATGAAACAAAAAATAGCATGTTACAGCTGAATTATAAATGCTTCGTGAAAAGCATGATTCTCCTTGTTTTGACTGCCTTGCTCCATCCCCATGCAGTCACCTGATGGGAATGTGTCCCCTTTTGTCTTCCTCTCACCCTCCTCTTCCCACAGCGGGTAGGAAGCTTTCCAGATCCCACTTCAGTGACCCCCTGGCCTGTGCATCCCTCCACTGATGTGGATGGCCACCTGGCCTGCCAGGGCAGTGGCCTGGTGCCACTGAGACATACCCAGAACCACAGGGAGCCGAGAGGGAGCCCAAAGTGTATCTGCTGCATTTTGACACTCTGAAGCTGCCGAGTGGGAGACTCGGCATTAATGCCTTTCTCCTCTTCCCTTTGTTTGTTTGCCCAAGTTTGTCCACTACCTCCAATGGTGAGTCATGGAGACTACATCTGCCACCCACGGCCTTGCGAACGCTACAACCATGGGACAGTGGTGGAGTTCTACTGTGACCCTGGTTACACCCTCGCCAATGACTACAAGTACATCACTTGCCAGTACGGAGAGTGGTTCCCCTCCTACCAAGTGTACTGTGTCAAAACAGGTAAAGGACTATCCTGTCCTAACAGCCCTGGCTTCTTACAGCCCCTCATTTCAGAGCAAATTTGTAGGTTGGCAATGCCTGGTGAACTTTGTCTGTTTCATGGTTAAGTGATTTTAAGATGCTGCTATTTTCGAACTCATTTGCAAGATTTTCAAAAAGGGTAAATATAATGCATTCTCAAAATTTTGAATGGTTCTAAACCATTTTGATCATTACCTCTTCAAATGTATTTTTTAACATTTGAATATTTTATATGTATGCAAGCTAAGGTCACGATTGCATGTATAAAAGACCAGTCAAGGGGAAAAAGCAAGATCCAGTCTCTGTGACAGCTTTATGTTAAGACTGCTTTTGGTACATGGCAAAGGGTTTATTTGTGTTTTTACAAGTTACATATAAAAAATGTGCACTTCTGAGTAGTGTTGAATATAAAATAACAACGGGAATATACAAGCACAACTCTTGTATTGTCTTTCTGTTACAGAACAAACATGGCCAAATACACAGGAGACCCTCCTGACTACATGGAAAATAGTGGCGTTTACTGCTACCAGTGTTTTATTAGTACTGCTACTGGTTATTTTAGCCAGGATGTTCCAGACCAAATTTAAGACACATTTCCTTCCACGGTTTGTACCGGTTTCTTTCTTATTTTGAAGGTTGAGGGCCTTGATTCTGTTTTCACACACAGCACTCCTTTCTGGAGAAATGGAGCAGCTCATGAGCCTTGCAGATACTTTGTTCTGCTCCGAGAAGTCCCTGAACCACTAGTGTGGAAGGGCATCCCCAAAAACCTTCACGCAGCTAAGATAAAAAGCAAAGTTTGCCAGATTCATTCTGGGAGTAATTACTGCTCTTCTATTGGGAGCTGCTGTGTCTGCCTGTAGAAATAGCTGACAATATTTTTAAGTACTCGTTTTCAGGTGCTGGGGGGATTATTTTTTAAACTATGTAGACATTACTTAGTAATGTAAGTTTTAAGAAAGAATTTATTTTTTCTCTATGGACAAATTTATATTAAAGATTTGCTTTACTTTCATTAGTGTTATTTTCATCATGATTCATAAACATCTCTTGCATCTTCCTTTATTTCTATAAAATATCCTGGAGATGGGAGCATTTGTCATTGATTGACATAGTGTTCTCCATGAGGAAAGCCTATAGCCTAGACTTGTCTTGCTTACTAAAATGGTTTTTAGTCCTCTCCTTTTCAGATATTTTCACGTGTTAAAGGTACCTAGGACCTCCTGCCTGGACTATACTGTGTTTAATAGGATACTAAGCAGAAACTTTAGGGTTTAATGGACCTTCCCAATTAATAGAATTGCTTTGCTTAAAAAAGAAATCAGCTTAATACTGGTTAAAGAAGCCTCCATCCTTTGAAAGCAAGACCTGAAGGAGGCCACAAGTCTTGCCACCAAACCCTTGTGTTCCAGAAGTGGTGATCTCAGCACCCATTTACTTGTGCTGTAAACACTTTTGTGCTCTAGCATACATTTTGCCAGGGGTTCAGACACTTTTGCCTGGTGAACTACATCTGTGATCTTATATCCATGACACCTACTGTGCACAGCACAGCAAATGGTGCTCCTTATCTCTTCCAAATACCTGTTTACCTTCCCTTCTTGGAACTGTTCTTCCCATTACTGGTTTCATTTTTTCCGATTGTAACAGATTCCACCTGTCAACCCAAGCATAGTTTGGCAAACATTTTTGTGAATGTTAATGACCCTGTAGCTTCATTTGGGGTGACTGGAAAGTACTGTGCTTACTGGAGTTCAGCAGTTGCTCCAAGGTGCTGCTGACATGCTCCTGCTCTCTGCGATAACCTTTCTGTGTTTGACGTAGAGGCAACCAGGAGGGCTCCATGGGCGACCCTGACTTTGTGGTGGTGGATGGTGTTCCTGTCATGCTGCCTTCCTACGATGAAGCTGTCAGCAGTGGCTTGAATGCCCTGGCACCCGGATACTCAGCTGCTGCAGACCAGGGGCATGTTTTGCAGACAGAAAATCAGAATCCCCCTGCTTACCCTGGTCCCAGGATTCCAGACATGCAGCCCAGTGAATTTGAGACGTGTGACAGTAGGTTGGGTTCCTCTGAACTGCTCCAAAGTTTGTACCCATCCCTGACATGCCAAACGGCAGCACTTCCCAGCTCAGATCGAACTGACATATCCCACAGCGCTGATGGGGATGCTGTATCCACAAGTCCCCGGATCGATATCACAGATGGTGAGTCTTGCATAGGTGCAATAGGTGAGTCCATGGACAGGGGACATCATTTTTTTGTAGGAATTCTACAATTCTAGGAATTCACCCAGCTGACTCACTCCTACTTTCTCCATGGTTTTGTCTACACCCTAATTTGAAACTTTTTTTAAAATCATAAAACTCCATGGTTATAGAATTTCATGTCTGTGATATGTCCTTGCTAACTGTGGTGCATGTGGTTTGAATGCCAGGCCAGAAGGCTCCTGTCCAGACCCCTGTCTCATCAACAGGGATGTCAGCAAACACCTGTTTACAGCAGCAAAGCCAACCCTCATCTTGCCTATGCTGATCTGTTCATCTGCTCTTCAACTCCTACGTTCACAGCTCTCTCACATACCATGGCTTTCACAGCAAATAACAGGATTTTCTCCTCAAAAAGGAAATAAATCGTATTTTCATACTGGGCCAAAATTAGCAACCTTTATTAGCAAACTCATCACGTCTATGCATCCAGCAAAATGTTCCTTCCATCTGAGGCACATAACCCTTAAGCCATGGACACGGAAATCAGAGCATAAGGAGAATGTGCCACAGGTCCATGTGCCAGGAGGGAGCTTGCCATGTATTATCGCCCACCTTTAAATCAAACATGAGAGCATGTACTGACACGGTTTCATGGAGTTCTGGTTGGTGCTGCTCAGCATGTTAAGGAAACTGGATGGCTTTCCTTGGAGGCATTTTGAGGGAGAGGCTCATATCCCACTCTCCATTGTCATTGAGCTGTAGCCCAGTGTCTTAAATGCAGTGTGGGTGAAGATCTGGGTGGAGGAAGTCTTCTGCTTCAGAGGAGTTTGGATAGTTTTAGTGGTACCACAAGGGGAATAGGAGACCCAGGAGGGGAGGAAGAAATTACAGGGCTGCCAGGTAAAGTCCCTTCCACCTCTGAATGCTGCTTCAGTGATTAATGTAGTAGGAAGGATGTTTGCATTTAGGTTTTTGTGGTCCTAACTTATTGGAGAAAATCTGTGTAGTTTTAGTTATCTAATTTTCATAGAGGTGTTAGAGTCCAAGTGGGTCTAGAATTGGCAATATCCCATGTTTTGTTCAGATATTTACAATGTCCATTTCTGGTTTTGTAGAATTGGTAACAATTATACTTTGCAAAAGCAAAAAGGGAAATTGCAATCAGCAGTCAATGCTATTTCTTTGTTTCTCCTAGAGATTCCTTTGATGGAAGAAGACCATTAGCCTGCACTGAGTCGTGTCCTCATCACATTGTACTTTTGGGTGACATGAATCATGAGGATTCAGAGATAGAAAAGACTCTGTGGATTTGGGGAGGGTATTTTCCTACTTACCAATCTTCCACGCAATGATGTCACCAGGTTGGGTGTATGTGGTGATAACAGCATCAGCATTCCGAACAGCAGCAGTTTTATGAGTGAATCCTGGGGATTTGATGAGAGCAGATGTAGAAAAATAACTGTGGCTTTTTAGAAGTGAAACGTATATCTGCATCGCAGAAAGTCATATGGCTCTGTAAGAAATGCTATTGGATTTTGATACTAACTGCCTCACAAAAGCATGTCAAAATATGTAAATTTGCTTATAAAGACTACTTTAAATGATCTATGGACCTCTAGTTTATGAAGAATCCTTTCAAGTTTAAAAAATATCAGTACTGAAACACACACAAAAAAAGAGGAAAGATCCTCTTTGGCTTTCCTATGATAACCAGGAAGTTTTTGATTTAGTTGTTGGTGATTTTGCTTCAGACCATGTCTGCAGAAAATATGACAGAAATTATGGGATTCAGATATACTTTGATGTACAATAGCAAATATATAAAAAAAAATATATATGTATATTTAAAAACTCTTAAAGAGAGAGGAAAGGAAAGACTCCCAGGTCACATAACGATCTGGAGATTTTTTTTAAAGGTAAGGCAGAATTTGTATCATAGACAATATTCAAAGTAAAGTATCAATATTTGTATTTATGCAAGACTTCAGTGACTACATTGCATTTGATAAATCCTGCTGTAATATGAGAGATCTAAAAGATGTTAAAATTATGAAATACATGCTTAAGAAATGTTGAAGTGCTCTGCTTCAACCTTTCTTAAACTTAAAAAAAAAAAAAATATATATATATATATGAGAGTAATCTACAGTCATAGCCCAGAGCACTGCCTTGTCCCTTTACATTGTGGTAGTATTCTGAGCCGTTATTGTAGAATACTTTAAAAAAAAATAATAAAGCTGAGTTTCAGTTCTTTTGACTTATCTGACTACTGTGTAGTTGGCTTTTTTTTTTTTCCTTCCTCACCTCTTTCACCAGCTCGTACCTGAAGGTAGGAGGTAGCAGAACACCTGTCCTGTGGCATTTTCAGCTTTACATCCATTATTCAGCTGGAAATTGAGAGTGGTTTTGGTTAAACAGAGCACACAGAATGGGTGCAGCAGGGGCACAGGTTCTGCAGATGCAATGTGGGTTTCATTGAGGGTTTTCTCTGCTCTGCAGGCTGTGCCAGAGCATTGTGCTAAAGCCTGTATGAGGGGTTCACTCTGTGGTGTTACAGGCTATTTGTACTTTTGTCAGGAAAATTCCTGGCTGTTTCATGTACTCACTGAAATCCAAGCTGATTTTCCTGTCTTATTTTTAGCATTGTGCAGATGAAACACCTTAAATTGGCAGTGTTTGAAGGAATTAACACTGTGTGTTAATGACAGAGATTGCCATCATGTGGGCTAATCCAAATCAAAGGTGAAAATACGACTGAATTCTGATTTTATGTACAAAGTAAATTAATAATATCTCTATTGCCATAAATAGAGGATCACTACAAGCTGCTCTGTGATTTTTTCATGATTATTCAATGATTTATTTGTATTGTGGTAGCATTTAGTGGCTCCACTCATGAGCCAGGCTAGTGGAATAATAGATGTGCTGCAACCATTCAAGAAAAGTGTTTATTAGCATCCTGTCAGCAACTGTTCATGACAGCAAGAAGCAAAGGCAGACCAAAAGCTATGGCGAGCAGAAGTAATTCTGTCAATTATCCTTCAGTAAGATTGATGGAAACACAGTGATTGGTACTAAAAAATGAGACATATTCCATTTTATCTTCCATCCTTGCTTATACAATATTTCCATTTTTCTTCTCCTGAATTGTCTCAGTTGCAGCTGCATGCTCAGGTTTATCCCACAGATGTTTGTACTTTCATGGCTACCCCTTCCTTTTATGATCTCAAGCTTTCCAGAGGTGTTTGCACGACCACTCAGAATTACCACTCCCAGCAAACAACACAAGAGTGCTCTAAAACCAACCCTGAACTGAAGCAAGCCCCAAGCCTCCAGTCAGTTATGTGATTTCAGTTTCATAATGCCATTGAAAAGTATTGGATTTACTTTAAATGCCTTATTAGGAAATCCTTCTTTGCTTGTCTTTTATCAGCTCGTGAATTTTCATCCCTTATTAAATTTTTTTGCTTCCATTTATTAATTTCTATGAAAGCTTCTTGATTAATATTTGGAGCTCTGAGGTTTTACAGAGTCACACTGCTGTGTGTATTGTATTGCAGTCATTTTATTAAAGGAGCCAGACGGGCTAACTGAAGAAATGTAAATTTATGACTTATTAGAACATTTTTATTTTAAGAAGTGCAGAAATGCAAATACACCAAAAAACAAGAATGTATTAATTTTGCTTGATAGCCTTTTGATAGGACTGTGCCAAATACAATTTTTAAAGGAAAGAAAGTTTTACCATTTTTTGCTTATGTTGAATAAAACTTCATTAAAGACTGTTTGAGGGGGGGATTGTTTGTGTGGTTGAGTTTGGGGGTTTTGCATGCTTGAATATCTGGGGGGAAAGAGAGAATTTTTTTCTTATGCTATTTTTTTTCCATATAGAGCTTGAATTCTCACGAGACGACTACCTGCCTCTGGATCCACACCTGTGTCCCCACCCACAAGGTGACACCCTGGGCTAGGGGGTACCCCCAGCTTTCCCAGCAACCTGGACACCCTGGAGAACTCCACAGCTCCCTGGCCTAAGACCTCAGGATGTTTTCAGGACCTCAAGAGACAAGAGGGCTGCTATGACCATGGCAGGATGTTCACTGTGTAAATGAGACCAGATGGGAGGATAAGCACATCTTATGCAGATCATAAGCTGTTTTCCCTTGAGCTAACTGGATGTGAATTAAAACAGATCCAGGAAACCTCTTATTGGTGAGGGGTTAGTGAAGATGGAACCCATGTGCCTTCAGCAGAGAGAAAATTGTTGTGTACTGAGAACTTCAGGAAATAAAAACAAGAACTGGCTTCACCCTGCCAATATTTCTAAAAATGAGAAAAGAGGAGCAGAAGGGAGCAGTGTGTCAGCCTTGAACAGTGACTTACGAACAGGGACTTGACCTGCAGAGTGCTGGGTGAAGGGTGGGGTTCCAAGGTCTCACAGGAGCCCTGCAGGTAGTGAATCACAACCTGAGCATGAGGTCAACAGAACCTGGCTGTTGTGAAAATGTTGAATGTCAACACAGTGTTTACACAGAACTGTAACTTATAAAGTGCATGAAGCAATCATTCAGCTGCACTCAGCACTAGTAAGGCCTCAGATAGAGCAGTGTGTCAAATGTTGAGCAATTTGTTTCCTCTTCAAGGGAAATGTGGTGCAGCTGGACAGCAGCCAAGCAGAGAGAATCAAGCAGAGAGAATTGGAAGAACCTGTCCTGTCCTCACAGATTATGTAGTATTCAGTGTGAACATTAGGAGACCAAAGAGAACACAAAAATTAAGTTTTCTGTAAGAAACATATTTTCAAAGAAGATGGAATTTATCCATATAAGTAGGACAAAAATAATAGACTTAATTGAGGCTTGAGAGAATTAGGTTATATATTAGGAAAAACATTCTAGTTGTGGGAATAGTTACTAGGAGAGAGAGATGGTCTGAAGAAGCTGTAAAAACCTCTGAGAGATTTTTTAAGACTGTTTTAAATAAGTAGAGGCGAGGAAAACATTGGGGAAGATGCACAGTGTGAGTTTTGGGCCCCTTCTCATTCTGTCTCTGCATGATTCCCAGCTTGTGAGAACTAAACTTGGCTGATGCCCAGTTTTGTCCATAGACTAATTCCAAACTCATGGTACTGGGCACACTAGTCAGTGCTCATCAAAACCACAGCTAGAAAGAATCTCAGTTCCACCAACTGAAGCTTTCATGTAGCATGGGCTGAACTCCAATAAAATCCTGTTAATTAAAACTTGTTGCATTGAAGTGACGTTGATTTCAGAATTTTGTTCTGTAACTGTCCTGGTTTAGGGCAAATCTGGGAGAAAACCGCCAAAAGGGGCCCCCTAGAAAGCCAACCCACACAGCCCCTCCCCTCAACTGGTTCAGAAAAATTTCCTCGGAGGGAAGTGGAAAGAACCTGTTTATTTAACAGGCAAGGCACTCCTCAGCACAAGAAATGAACAATACCAGATGACAAAACTCATTCACCGCTCTAAAGAGACGACAAATTCAGAAAGTCTCTCTTGGGGGTGCTCGCTCTGTTATCAATCCCTCCGGCACTGGCAAAGGCTGCTGCCCAGAGTAGGCCCCCGTAGGCCACAGAGTGCAAGCTCTCGGTGCTCCCCAGGCCCCACTCTGGAGCACGTTCAAATGGTTCCAAGAAAAAGGGAAAGAAAAGCAGTCCAGGGAAAACTTGGACCACCTCAGCTAGCTGAACAAACTAAAAAGCAAAAGGAGCATGGTGTTCTGCCCTGTTCATGCCCAGACAACAACAGTGGAGTTCTGTGTTCCAGCAGACTGTGGGGGAGAGCGCAGCTGATAATGAAACTCTGTGCTCCTTCTTGTCATAAACAAAACAGACTACTGGGGATACAAGCATCGTAATGTCAACCTAGGATAGTGACAAATCCAAACTTGAGATTTTCTGGTCTTCATGTCTATCTTAGGCAGCTAAATGAATGCAGCCCTGCTAATATTCCCTGTGCATTAGGTGAAGTAAATCCTCTCTTGGCAATTATCTGAAGACACCTATTGAGCTCAATGAGAAATAGCAGCTCAGGCAACTGGAGCACAGATCCTATTGTCATGCTTATGCAAAACTTGCTTCCCATGCCCAAAAGCTGTTTGTTCCTCCCTGCTCTGTGCTGTGGATAGTAGCACAGTTTAGCATGTCAGCTGCCAGAAGGGGAGTAGCACAGATAAAAGAAGCACATCTCAAGTTCCTGTTCTTGATCTCCTGTGGATGTCCAGGCATGACTTGGGGGCAGAAAGAATTACAAAGCAAGTAAACATGTGCCCCAAACTCAGTCAAGGACACATCCAGTCCCTTCAACATGGTTCCCAAAGAAATTATACTATACTGGAGGGAAAGCCCTGTGGCAGAGGGGAGATGGGCCCT